CACATGCTTTTTTTAAAAATGGTTGCTCTGTTGGACGTGACGTCAACTCACAACGCTCTGTTCAAGCAGGGTTTTTGCAGGTCGGCTTGCGCACACGCACACACACTCGCACACGCACACACACTCGCACTCGCACTCGCACACGCACGCACACTCGCACACACTCGCACTCGCACACGCACGCACACTCGCACACCATGGGCAATTTAGAGACGCCAGCTAACCTAGCTGCATGTCTTTGGACTGCAGGACGAAACCAGTGGCCCTGCAGGGGATCTATGGGATGCAGAGAGTATGCAAACTCCGCACCCCTATCCCTGCTAGCCACCGCAATCACCCCCCGGATTGAATTTCCTTTTTTTCTTTCGTTTTTCCTTTCTATCTGTCTGCCTCTCTATCTCTGTCTGTCTCAATCTCTGTCTGTCTGCATGGCTGTCTGTATAGATCTATCACTGTCAGTCTGTTCGTCCGTCTGTCCAACTCAGTAGTAGACATTACTGAATTTTGAACAAATTTTGGCAGCTGGAATGAGGCGGTTTATCCCGTTGTCGCGGGCAGGTCATGCACATCCTCAGTCAGGTAATCCGAGCTTTTATGTCAGGCATGTAGGCTTTGGGGAGGCGAGGAAGAATCTGAGGATACCCGTTTAATCGGCGATCCGGAGTTAAGCCCGTGCCTACTGGGCTACTCATTAACTTTCTTTGTCTGGTCGCCGGTCTCCGTACCTCTGTGCCTGCAGGTTATGCCCACCCTAGTGGACAAGCAGAGCGAGCGGCTTCGCTTTTATTACATGGTGACATCAGGGGGCCCCCAGTGGACATGGGTGTGCCGGTAAGGGGCACCCCCTCCGAAACTGGGAGCATGCGGATGGACAGGGGTTTCGCCTGAGACGACATACATTCCAGAAATGGGGATATTGGCGTTGATATTGGCGTTGTGGCCAGAGTTACAGCAGAGTTGGAAAGAAGTAACTGAATATTAGGAAGGTGCCGAATCTCTGGCCAAGAGGAGCGGTAGCTTTGCATTATATTCACCGTGTGCTGAAAGGTTCGTCTTAAGCATCCAAACACGCGACGTGTTTACATGCCATCGTCCCGTTTTAAGAGGACCGGCTGGTGGCAACAACACCGTCGTTTCACAAAATCGACAACAGCTTTTTATCCATTAGCTAAAACGTTGTAGCTTCGGAGTAGCTAATCATTTGCCTTCAGATATCGGTATGGTTGTCAGCTTGTTATCCTGTAAGGCATGCTTTTTAATATGGGGAAAAAAGAAAATTATAACACTAACACTTCAGGAAATGTCCACAATGATTTTATTTATTTATATTACTTTCTGACTAATCACACATGCATGATACAAACTGGCGCATATAATGTATTATCATGCACGTGGATTCGTGTAAGCTGTGTGTCGTACATCATGGTTACGGCCCTGAGCGCTTGTTTTTGCACCTTATCTGCTTTTAATTGACGTGTGCTTCTGCTGATCACCATGGTTAAATGCTCACTGTTCACACTGACAAGCAAATTGCTTTGGTGTGCATCGTAGGTTATTGCTTTTAAAGCATTCGCGTCAAATTTTTTTTTCCGACTGCCAGTTGATTTTAGTTTAGTAGCGATTGTTTTACTGATAATAAAAACCAAATTAGACAAAATGGACAGGGGGTGCAGTATAATTCAACAGGACTGTGTTGGCTTTGTCCCCAACTCGAGTCTGTCTCAGCTTACAGAGAGAAACATTGTTTAGTGGTAAAACCTGTAAAAGATGAATCTCCGAAGTACGCATAACAGTCACTGCAAAGTTCTCTCAGTTTTTCTCACTGGCGGAAAAAATACATTTAGGTCATGGCTTGAACCTGTAAATGGCCTCTTTTTCATGCATCTCGCAACAGGAAGCATGGGACAGGCAAAGATTAATGGGGGGCCGATAATCAAAAGATATACCCGGCCGAGAGCCGGCAGGAAACAGCGGAGGGATTAAAGAGCTGAAGCGCAAACTGAGGATGTTATGGAAGAACAATTATTTACTGGAAAAACAAGCATAAATATTTTTGCAGCTATTTTTTTTTATGCACCATTCTTTCATTTTCCCATGATGTAAAGTTAAATGTGCGTCCCAACATGGGACAGAAGGGCCGATATACGGATCGTACTGCTTACCGCTTATCCATGCGAGGCAGTACGGGCAGACTTATAACCTTATAATTCACGAAACAACATTGGGGGGGGGGGGGGGGGGGGGAGTAGTGACTTATCAGAGTGAGTGTAAAATCATGGCGTCGAGTGAGATGAGTAGCCTGCAATGAAAAAGGCGGGCACAGGCCTCGGTTCGTGCCAACCTTTAAGTGAAACTGCCTAAGATGCCAGGAGCAGCGTGATTTCATAATTCGCACCAAAGAACATTTTATTTCTTGTAAATGTGTTTACGTATTGTGCATTTAATTGATGGAGTTTAAGCTAATGTAACGGGGAAGGCAACACATTATTAAATTGCAACTGCAATAATACAAAGGTTTCTTACACGGTCCATGTCACAGAAATAACCCCTAATTAAAGGGATGACGTGGATGAACCCCGGGGGGTTTTTTTTTTCTTCGTGGTAAATTTTTTATTTATTTTTTTAATCAGGAATTGTTGGCCCCTATGCTTTGCCAAGTACTATTGTGCTTGTTATTATATTAAAAAAGAATCTGAAGAGCGTCCAAAGTATGCCTGCAGTTATTACAACGTACCCTGCTTTGATAACTCTGCCCTCCAGCACAGTGGGGTTCTGTGTGTCTGTGAATGGGGGGGCTTTGGGTGTGGTTAATCTCACTGTTGAGCTATCGTTATAGCACTTACAGTATCCACAGACAAAAAAGACAGTATTCTTTTGGTCGCATGCCTTCTTCAGGTTTAGTTTGACCCCCGTACAGGAAGTAAAAGTCATGTGTTCAAGAGAATGTCCACAGGTTAAACCCAGAAGTCATCAGGTGGTTTTCAGTGTTGAAGCAATGGGATGGATGGATGGATGGATGGAAAGAGAAAGAATGAAGGAACTTTATTGATATCGGGGGGGAGGGGGGGAGTTATTTTGTCGGGCTTCCACAAACAGTTACTTTTGAATTTTGTACCAGCTGTTTCATTTTGATCAGGCACTCATTTGGGCAACAACTTCAGAGTTGAGAAGCAGGTCCTCACCAAACCTGCAGCAGGGTCATGCATGTCACAGATCTCTTTAGCTGAGTAGAAGCAGGGGAAGAGACTGATATCTGTTCTCTGTGTTTGTTACACCGATCCTCTTCTTCTCCTAATCCATCACATTTCTGGCACGTGTCTCTTGATGTGGCATGTACTTTGGTTCCCGGTGTATTAATGCTGCACACTGCATTATGGGGCAAGATTAGTTTTGGATGGCATGTTGCGATTGGAGTCGAACGTATTTTTTCCCCCAAAACTTTGACAGGCTGAATTGTTCACTGTAAATTTGGAATTTTCAAGTGGTCGGTCTGTCTGTCTGTCTGTCTG